TTCGTTCAGTGTTGTTCGATGTAAAGTGTAAACTTGAGAATGAAAAATTAATTATGCAATTTTGATCGTCTGCAGAGATAAAGTGGCGCCGATAATATAAACTGTTTCGTTCCTCATAAACAACCAACTGAAGCAGTACAAGGTGTGTTTGTGTAATAGCAATTAAACAACTCTCAATAAGTGTACTAATTCTCTGAATTGATGAATAGCTCTAATGCGTAGACTTGTCTTATAAAACTATCAATAATAATTAACGTAAACTCCATCAGTTCAATACAAGCTCCTCTGAGACGATATCACCAATGAGAGTCATACAGAACGCATCAAAATTTTCGAGAAAAATTTCATCCCAAATACTGGATTAACCTCATCATAAGAGCACCAGTTCATCCACGAATAGCTTGAAGTACCATTGGAATTTTTCAGTGCACAGACCAACACTGTGAACTAGCAGTGAATAAAATTAAACTGCATAATTAGCAGGCAAAAAATGAGAACTTCCGGCGCATAAACATTTCGATCTCTTCAATGACTGCAAGCCATACATAATTGTCGAATCTCAACTGATTGATCATGACTTGATGGAGGAACACATTCTCAGATTAATGGCGAAGTTTACTGACTGGATCAGTTGTCCTCTTTCCTCAAGAGACCCATCCAGCACAATGAACAATAAGTGCAATTTTAGTGAATGCAAAATTGAATTGATGAGAAACAAACTTCGCGGTCGACTGTTGGATAATTTTAGCGTTGACGATCGCTGAGGAACACCTGTTGATGGCATCGAGTCGGTTCGCAGTTCCTCGACTGTTTCCTCTTTCAGCACATAAGGGAATCTGGAAGATTTGCGGAAGCTTGACATCACACCAAGACTGCCTACATGGAATCCGCCTGAAAATGATTTGAAACAGTCGTATGATTCTTTCTATACGATGTTCAGTTCTGTGTTCCTCTTTAGAACGAAGCGAGTTGATGTTAAATATTCATGAACGGTTCCTACACGTGAGCTGTTCCAACCTGGTAAGGCTCTCAACCTAATGCATTCAACAATGTATCGTACATGAAGCTTGGTGAGTACTTCATAAGATGTACTTTCAGTGGAGCCATATGAATGATAATGCACTAACTTCGCGAATCGGAACTGGAACATGGTTGGGAGCAAGAGACATTTGAACGCCAATGCTTCCAGAATGAGCGGAATCCTCCATCGAGTCGGATTCGTGGGAGATGACTCCCAGCTCGACTGGCCGACTGAAAAAACAGAAGCATTTTGACAGCAACCTGTACATAGTTTCAGCACATCCAACTGTGGCTGGCATAGAGACCACGTCCGCAAGGGGGACTATGGGCATGAGAATAAGAAGAGAGAACGTCATGGAACTGGAA